CAAGTGACTTGAAAGATGTGCCATAACTTGTAAGCCTACAAGATCTCGCTGTGTTTTTGTGCATACGTAGGGCTTCAGAGAAACAGTTAACTAGGGAGAAGACAGGCTTACCACACAGCATGACTGCACCCTAAAGAAAGCAAATGTATTTACACACTTGTTTAAATTAATATTCCTGTCTCACCCAGGTAATCATGATAATAAGGCATTTATTTTTAATAAAATTGCAGCTCAAATACACAAGCCGAATTTAGTGTGATGTTGCGCTGTATGTCAGTAGTCAAAATAAGATGGTATTTATGTGGTGACCTCTTTTAATTACCTTTTACTTCATACTCTTTCACCTTGGACATTTTTAAAATTCTTTTTCTGTTTTACACACTGTATGTGCCTTCTTGGGTTGGTTTTGATTTTTTTTCCCACCTCTTACTTAGAGTCAACTTTTTGTTTTAACTTTTTTGCATATTTGCTTTTTTCTTTTCTTTCACTTTTCTGTTGCTCATGCCAATTCTTTTTTTCTCCGTTTTAAAGTACTCTTTTTCCTCTGTTTTTCTAGTGTTGAGGAACCTATGCACTTCCCCACCACCAGCACGTCACCGGTGATCTGTGTTTGTCTTTCTTTTCAAGCTCTTGCCACAGTGACTTTCATTAGGAGCTGATTACAGATGTAAAACAGAAAAAATACCCCTGCCTTGATTTTTACTCTTTAAAAATTTTTATTTTTTTAAAGGAAGGTGTCCATATTCTTGTGTATTTCCATACAGTGACTGACTTCTTTCCTCTATGAGGTCTGGAGGATAGTGATAGGAATGAAGCACCCTTCAGTGGCAGCACTGCTCTTCCCATCCCATTCATCTGCTGGAAGTGCAGAGCTGTGGTGCAGCCCCCTAGCCCCCTGCCTAGGAGCAGAAGCAGCACTGAGGACCAGCAAGGACGAATGGGAAGGACTCAGCTCTTTCCTCATGTCCGTGAGGTTGCACGACTAAGAAAGGCTCCTGCTCTACTATGATGCTGAAGGGAGAGTGTGGACCACACTCTCATTTTCAATACTGACATGCCATTTTGGCTCCTTCTCAGCAGTGGTTAGAGGGACATGCTTTAGGAATGGGCAGAGGGAAGGTTTTGTGCCTAGTGATGCCCCATGGTGACCAGAAAGGCAAGCGCATAGCTGAAAGTGTGCGGTATCATTTGTCATCTCCCCAAATGGCAGTATTTAAATGCCTGCTCGTGGATGACCTGCTTCCCACTGGCAGCTCCATCTCCCATGTTGCAACTTTGCAGAGGATTTGGGTGCGGTTCACTTTGAAGTTTGAGGCAAAAATGAGCTACTGAATGGTAATAGTTCCACCTAGTCAGCATTCTACGTTGTGCATTTACTATAAGTCTGTACAGCATGTGGGAAACTCAAGTCATGCTGGGAACACCTGAAATGCTCTGCTGTTTCATCATGCACACCGTTTGGGGAAAAAAACAGCCCTTCCCACAGTCTCATTCCAACCTCCCCCACCCCCTCTCACCAAAACACTTGGAAGTAGTAATAGCATACCAGAAATGAATTACACTTGAATTTTGTGGTTTAGACTTCAAGCTTTGTTTTTGTTGTGATTTAAAACCTTTAATTCTATGATGCTTATTCCAACTTCAGATGCTCAGGGAAATGAACAGATCAAGCTCTGTTAATAACATGAACAAGAATAAACTAGATGATTTTATTCTTGTTAGTTCAGGAGCTTTCTCTATTAATAGTCATAACCTTATGTTTTCTGCAAAAATATACTTATCTGCTTGACGATGAATCCTTGCTTTTGGACTGGGCAGCTCTTCTCTCCCCTTCTGGTTTTGCTTTTCTTGTGCTGATAGGTGACAGCAGTATTGCCTCTTGTGCTTCATTGTATTGGTATAATGGAATCAAATTCTCCAATTTTTCTTTAAGTCTCTTGTCTTCCCTCATCACCATAATCCTTTTTCTTTGCAACTCTGCTAATTTGAGTCTGTCTTAAATTTAAATGGCCTGCCCTCATTTACAGAGACTGTGAACACCCTTGGTGGCAGAGGAGAGTGCTGGACACAAGTATGAACCTTTCTTCCTCAAGCACATCACTTTGATGACTTTCAGCACCTGAAAATAGCTCTGGTGTGTTGTGCTTCTCTGGGCTTTTGAGTTCTGAATGTTTAAAAAAGAATCATTTTTGTGAAGTGTGGTGCGATTCACATTGCAGTATACCCTTTGAAGCTGAAGTGGTAGCGACCATTAATCTCATTAAAGTACGGTTGCATTGGTAAAAGGAATAGTGTAATGGCTTCTATATTTGAGTGCATTAATCATTGAAAAATGTTCCTGTTCACATTTCTAATGATATATCTAATTGCAAGGTTGATAACTCGTCATTTTTTCTACTTATTTCTGTGGTGCTATTTAAGATTCATCTTCACATTCATTATTCTGGTAGAGTTTAAAATGACTGCTAGCTATTCTGAGACCTGTAGCATTGCTGATTTACTACAATGATTAGGGACAGTCAAGAACTTGGCAAAGACTGTATTTAGAAGTGCTGATCTGTTTAAACGATACCTTTTTGTGTCAATATCCAAACCTGAGCAATAGCAAATTGTGTGTCATCTCTTTATGCTCTGAGGGTCATTTCCAGGCCCTGACTGCAGAATTGCTGGTGTTGGGGCAGTAACTTATGAGATGGCAGGCATGATCAAACTTCTGGCTTGGGAGCTGAAAGAAGGGAGATTTTGAACCATGTTTTATTCTGCATGTGAGTCCTGTGACTAGCTGTGTTCTGTCTCCCATATTATCTCCCCCTGCCTCTGGCCCCATTTCTGAAGGTCTTGACTACTGTCAGTGATGATGTTCTCAGGCTGTAAGTGTGATTTATCAGGAGGTTGATGTTGATAGGTTTAGTTGCTGAGACACCTTCAAAATTAATTCTCTCATGCACCAAGAAGCATCCACTGATGAGTGACTCTTCTGCTTTGTTTTTATTGCTCTCAGGGTGTAGGCAGCATCTATTTCTCTAAATCTGACTCTTCTTCCTTGTTTACTTGCACAGTGTGCTCATTTTCTGCACTTTAGTTGACATAACCCATTGGTTTGGGAGTGTGCTCTGAGTTTTCATTACCAGTCAGACAGTCAGACCACGTTGCCTTCACTGGTGTTGGTGTCACTTCAGTTCATTACCTTACAGCTATTCATTCCTTCTGCTTTGCTGCTTTCTTCTTGTGCCTTACCTGCCAGTTTCTTGGACTCCCTAGACCCCTTAACACTGACCTAATAGTTGTTGTTTAACAAGTAGTTTCTTTTCTTGCACTGGGACTGTAGTCTGTGGCTTCTTCCATGTGGAAGAAATGATGCTTTTTCAAGTCCTTGGGGTTTTGGTACTAATATGACACTCAAATATTAATTGAATAAAGTTGATATAACTAGCCAGCTTTCCCCACGTTGCATGAAAAGGAAAAAAGGGCCATTGCAAGGAAAAGAAAAGGAAATGCCCCTTCTGATGCTGCACCCCACAGCATGAAACGCTACCTTGGCCCCATGTGCAGGCAGCCCTCTGGGCACTGCAGGTACTAGTGCACAGGCAGAGGCGAGGTTGCCTGTGCTCCATCTTTCCCAGCCCTCTCCGCTCACCTACCACCACGTCATGTGTCCCATCATTGTCATGGTGTTGCATTCCCCTGCAGCAGAGCAGCTCCCAGCATGGCTTTGGGGCATAACCTTCATGGTGTGAGATACTTGGGATCTTTCAGATGTGGTAACACAGAGCCCGCAACCTGCATGGGGGATACCTTGTTCAAATATTTTCCTTGAATGAAACCATGTTTACAGACTGATAAGGAATACTAGAATCCTAGGGACCTTCAAAACAGAAAGTTGTGGGGATTCTTGGGTTTGATTTACTTTCTAAGTCTCTATTAGAAGCCACTCTTGTTTTCTTTGTAGATTTTTTTTTAAAATAAATACCTAATGAAGGAATAATTGTTACATCCTGTGATTGTATTAAAAAAAATTAAAATTTCAAGTAAATTAAATTGTTAAAGCAGAGCTTTTCCATACTGTGATACTCTGATACCACTGCCTTGATTTACAAACCCTTAATGACAGGGCTGTGCGTAGCTTATGAATTAAGTAACTTTGTGTACCTTTTCCTTTGGCTTGCTGCTGAAGGGAGCAAGTGCACAAGAGGGCACATTCTTTTGTTGTTGATAGCATTCCGCCTTAACGAGAAGGAATTTCTTGCTTATTGCCTATTGTCTATGAAGTGGAAAGGGGACACAAGTTGTATAATATCTATATATATCGTTGGAATAATTCTTTTTTAACACTGCCCTTGTGAGTCAGTTGATCCTGCAGCAGGTGCAGTGAGTGGGTGCTGCACCTATATTTTGTTATAGACTGGTGTGAGGTTGGGGCCGGGGAGAGTGACGGGAGGGGAAGGGTGGGAAGGGGAGGAACTCTAAGGATAGAAAACCCCCCAAGTAAGGCAGAAGCAGTCCTGAGTACAGCTTGGTTTCTGTCTCTCTGGAGCTTTGCTCAGCAACCAAACCCAGACTCCAGGTGCAGTGTTCCCTCATCAGTCTGTGAGCATAGAAACGGCATGTCCCTCCTCTTCTCCCTTCCCTGCCAAGAGTTTCTGGGTGGTGAATGTCAGTAGCTGGAGTTATTTTTAAAGGCAAGAGGTGAGGCTTGTCGTGCAAAGCTAGGAAGAGGGCGTTTGTTTGCTGAGCAGAGCTGACATCAAAGTGGAGATTGCTGCCTACTGGCTCACCGCTGCCTTATGCCAGGTAATCTTTAACATACCCCTCAGTCCCCGAGATCGCAGCCCAGCCTGCCTGTGTGCCTGTGAAAAGACCAGCGTTTATGATCCAGAAGATTGCTTTTTCAGTATTATTTACGTGAGCTGGACTTTGACATTTAAAGGCTCGCACTAATCATCTTGCAAAACCTGCTTAGTGCTTTTAACTAAGCAACTGCTTTCTACTTCTTTTTGCAGGATAATATAAATGTTTTTCTGAAAGCGTGCGAAAATATTGGACTGAAAGAAGCTCAGCTTTTTCACCCAGGAGATCTTCAGGATTTGTCCAATCGAGTTACAGTCAAGTGAGTTTTGTGGTTTTGTTTTCTCCTTTCCCTTCTTCCTCTAAGGTCTTTCATGGTCTTTTTTTCTTTTTTTTTTTTTTTAATGTTTGCCTATGGAAAATTCTTGTTTTAATCTGGTGTGAGCAGTTCTGAATACCATGGTGAGGGTTTAAGCCTTGTTAACACTAGTAGGTAAGACTTGCAAAAGTGTTATTTAAAAAATGAAGTATTATTATAATACTTGCTTTACAAGCAAACTAATTATTAATGAATATTTACAACATTTAATATGAGATGGAAACTGTTCAGGTTATTTTAGACTTGGAGCAAAATTAACTGTTAAATGTTAACTTGTCTTTATGTTTTGTGATTACTGATGTAAAATCTGAAAGGCTGAGGTGGTACTTCTGATACTTATCCATATGGATTTGGGGTTAGGTACAGTGTTCCTAAAGAATTGCTGGTCTTTCCACTCCAAGTATTAGTCAGATGTTTGTCACCGTATGCCACGTCCTGTGTCAAGGGGCATGTGTGTGTGTGCATGTAGAAACTAAGCACTGAATTGCACACGGGGTAACTGTCATTTTTACAGATAAGAGTTTTTCTGTGAAATAGCAGTGGTTTGGTTCTGAAATATGATTAGTGGATTCTCATATTTCAGGACTGCTCTGTCTCCTAATAAGAATTTTATTACCAGTTTCTGAGAGATTAAGGTGGAACTTTACTATACAGACAGGTGTTTTAATATAAAAGTGTTATGGCAAAAATTATCCTGGAGCATCTTGCTTTGTTATAGTATGAACTTTTTTTTATCATATTGGTATAAAGGAAGAATTTATTGTCTCAAAAAAAAAAAAAGCAAAGCTTTAGTGAGTTTTGCTGGAAACCTGGCAGGTTAAATGTTAAGTATTGATTCCTGACTTAAATTACCAGTTTTATTAAAGTGGAACAGTCAGTAATCCTTCTGTAAATGCAAGGGGAAAAAATATTGTGAAATGGCATGTAACTGCTTTAATTAGAAAGAAATCTCTTATATGTGGATAGGGTGGTAGAATGTTGACATGCTCTCTGCCTGGTTTTAGAATGAAAATTCATACTGTTTTGAGGTCTGATACTTGATATGGCAATGTGTTTTCCAATCTTTGACTCATACCCGAAATGTAATTTCTCACTAATCTGGTGTTTAGGGACTTGGCATCTTTCCAGGAAGTTGGTATTCTCTCTGCTCATTCCTACGTCATGCCAAAAGCCAGAGGGTTGGTAACCTCTGCCATGCTTAAATTATCCACAAAGCCCTTGCTTAAGTTATTTTGGTGGAGGTTTGCTCTGAGGGTAGAGTGAGAAGAGTTGGAGGTGGTCAGGAGTTGGTCTTCAACAGCGTCAATAGCGACAAACTGAAACTTTGGGGAGGTCGAGTTAGCAAACTGTTGTGCAAGGTATGTTGTCCGACTCGTCCCTGCATTAAACCGCGCCACCCGAGTGAGGTCAGCCATGAAATTCATCCAGTGTATCTGCAACTGAGGTTTTTTTGGGTCCTTTCGGCACCGCCAGTTCCCTTCCCAGCTCTGTGAGCAGAGAGAGTAAGGCTGGAATTTGAAGTTGTCACAAGGCTAAAGGGGTTTTACATCATATCTATTCGGCAATGGTCTAATTAGTGTTTTTCAAAAAAGCAGATTTAACTATTGAGTACTTCTTATGGACAGCAATGCGGGGGGTCTGGGTTAGAATCGAAAGAGCTGCCAGCCATATAACCATGCTCTTTTAATTTGTTTCAGTGTAAGTTTGATTCTCCACACATTATGTATCATATGACAGTCCCACAGTGTGTGTAAAACGCTTAGAGTAATTTAAAACTTCTGTATCTGAGCAAGCTGTAAAATTGTACCCTAACTATACTAGCACTTTTTGATATATTTAGTAGGTTGAAGAGGGATGGGAGGGAAAATTTATTCCAAGAAGTGAAGGAAGTAAGTTACATGAGGATAACCCTGTCCAGTGAAAAGTTAATTATAGAAATAATTTGGTTACCCAGAGGACAAGCTAGTCTTCAGAGGATTTTCAGAGAGAGTTATATGTGTATCAAGAGAGAAATGCTCTCTGATCAGGAATTTTATCTGATGTGTCTTTTTATTATTTAATAGAAATAAATAATTTCATACATTCAAGCTGAATTACAAATGTCTTCAAAAGGGGTAATATTTCCTGTCTTGCTTTTGTGTTTTCCTCTGTTAACTCTAGTTTCACAATTAGAAATAAATAATTTCTTGTCACAGAGAAGGAAAACTTTTTATCTGCTTTCATAAAAGATTGCATGTAACTTCTGGCTTTTTGACATTCCTAAGCAAATTCATTTTGCTGCCATTACCTGAGGTTAACTGCCCACATCTTAAACCAACTGCGATATGTTGTGTGGGATAACATTAATGTGTGCCTGAAGCAGTGTGTATTTTGACACCTCAGAAGGACTGCTGTGTTCTGCTCTTAAGCCACCATTAGCATATACTTTTTATCTGCCCAAAATATATTAAATAAACTGCTGCTTAAGAGTCAGCTTCACAGAATGGGATGGCAGAGAACAGAGCACTGGTAGGATACATGTACATACTGTCAGGCATGACAAGGTGCCTGATTTGCTTTAGATGTGGAAAATAGATAAGAGGAGGATGCCATTAAAAGGGTGGGTCCACTTCTGTTTCTAAGGAGGACACGAGAGTTGTCGTCTTATGTCAGAGCAAAACCAGTCTCTCACAGTGGCTGGGAGGTTGCATCTCTGTCCATGTTGCACTTTGCCTTCTGTAGACTTTTTTAGTTACTCTGGCACCTCTGATGGTGGGATGGTCCTCAGGAGGAACACCTACCTTTTGAGGGGGATGAGCTCTGTGAAGAGGTGTTCCTTCTGCTACTCTTGTCTCTGCTGCCTGGCAGTTAAGGGTGGTATCTTCTCATTTTTACCTTGTGGGAAGTCATATAGCCTCAGGCTGTTGGCAACTCACACTGCCATCCTGTCCCACCTGGGCATGTTCCCTTTCCAGCAGGAAAAGTTATTTTGTCCTTGTACTTTATTTCCAAGTATGCTTGCTGCCTTTCACCATACCTTTGCTGATAGCACTCCCATCTAATCAACAACATCACAAAGCCATTCAGAGACACCAAACTCTTTATTTATTTGTGATGCAGTGTTCTTGTGACATCTGAGTTGGGTAAAGACCCACTGTTCCTCGTGAACAGAATCTGTTCTAAGAAAGTAATCCTTCCATCTGGTAAGGAGGCTACAACTTTCAGTTGCATTTTGTTTTCTATTGCAACTGAGATGATGCACAGCCTTGATGAAAAACCCTCCTCTATAATTACTAGAAGTAATCTGGGATAGGAGAAGCAAGAATCCTCTTATATACCCAGACTCTCAGTTCCAAGTGATTATGTGATTATCTTTTTTGCAAAGGAAAAGCTCCTTAAAATTTTATTGTTTAGAAGTTTGTGTGAAGAGGGCTGGCTAGAATTACTGGTTGCCACTCCAGGCCTTGAAAACTTTATGCTTTGCCAGGTCAGCAAGATTACTTGTTGGGTGATGTGGAAAAAGTATACTGGCATGGATGGTTTCTTTCCTGCCAGTGAAAATGGGAATGGGGATTAACGTCTGAGATTTATAGTTCAGTCTTTCTGCAAATCTGCAGAAGTCATTGCTCAATGGTATACTACAGTGATATGTCATGTGTTTCAAGAAAAATCATCCAGATGGACATATTCCTCACATACCATGTCCAGCAGTCATATGCACATCATTCTGTTCAGTGGCTAGTTATTTATGCTAGTGTAAATGCATATATGTCCCTCTTCAATTCGTTCAGCATATTTGATTTTTATTTTATTTTTTTTATTACCCTGGGATTTTATTATTTCTAATTGGAGAAGATGTTAGTTTAGAACCCAGCACTTTGTGAGTTTATTTTTTATTTGTACTAATGCAAGATTGTCTTAATACTTAATTTGATTCTTCTTTAGTTCTGTCAAAGTAAGAATGTAATATGAGCTTAGTGACTCTCAGTTGTCATCATGGTTACTATTTAAAAATGTTAAGCACTTCCTTATCCAGTTCTTTAGGGGTGACACACCCAGTTGTTCTCAGCTGTGGAAGGGTTATTAGTAAAATCATACCATGGAGTTAAAAGCGAGAGTTCTCATAGACAGACACCAAACTTAATTTTGATGGAGTTTGTTATCCCAGTTATCAGTTTTAAAGGAGGCAGCCTGAACAATCAGACTGAGAGTGTAAACCCAAATTTGTCTTTTCTTTCAGGCAAATTAATTATTCTACCAGAAAAAAAATTATAATTCTGTGAAATTAGGTATCTAGTTAAAGAATCTCATTAAATTCTATTAATAAGTCCAAACAATGGTGGGTTAACAGATTAGAATATTAAACTAAGAAAAAAAAAATCCCCCAAACCAAAACAAATACCCCAAAACCCCCCCAAGAAACGATTCATTGCAAAATCCTAAATAGCAAACTTTTTTTTAAAGGTACTGCAACCCCTGAGGGGTTGGAACTAGGTGATCTTTAAGGTCCATTCCGACCCAACCATTCTGTAATTGTTTCCAAAGATAGCTGGAAGTATCTCAGCTCCTTGCAGAATTTAGTATTTTCATAAGGCGTTCATCTTTTTGCTGCTCTGTACTTTTTCATATACTCATTATCAGTCCTGCACACTAAATAAAGTGTAAATCATATAAAGCAAACAGAAAATCCTGTTGGAGAAGTCATGCTAAAGTGGGACTAAGTGCCTACATGAGATGAAATAACAGAGCTCTGACTTCAGCCCTGGCATTTCAAAATTTGGAGTACTTTTTAACTTATCCATTTAATGTTTCTTTAGCACAATTTTTTTCCCTGATTTCCTAAAGCAAAAAGCAGTCCTGGAAAAATTTGAATGCTGTGCTTTCTGTAGCATAAAGCTGTATATAAAGCCAACTGGAGAGAAGTGACAACTGTTATATGTCATGTTCATCCTTGTGTTCCAGCA